AGAGGCACCGGGAGCAAAGCCGCAGCCGCGGCGGGGTGCCGCGCTTCTGAGGCTTTGCCAGAGCAAAGCCTCAGAGGTGCGAGACCCCTCCACCTCCCCGGCTTTGCTCCAGGTGTCCCTGGTCTGCTGGAGACGGTCCCCAGCACACCAGGGGCACCCGGAGCAGCTTTTCTTGCCCCGGAGGTCGAGGTGGCGGGACGCTGCGCTCTGGACGGTCCCGCTGCCTGCGAGCTCCGGGGCGAGAGACCCCCGTTCGTAAGTGCGGATCCGACATAAGTCGGATCCGCGTAACTCGGGGACTGCCTGTAATTTGTTTTTGCTCTTCCTTTCTTCTTTCCTTCTCTTTTACTTTTGGTGCTGCTATTCAATGCCAGAATTCCATGAATCAACCTGTAGGGATGCTTTGTGAATGGGGACTTTGAAAGAATTGAATTTATTGTGCATCCAGGTGATGCCACAGCTGACATAAAGAGAAAAAAGTTATAGGGGCTGTTAGGTAGTATATTGGGTGAAATCTGACCTCATTGAAGTGATTTTACCCATTGTCTTCTCAGAAAGTTTGAAGGAGATATGTGGCTCTTAAATATATAAAAATGGACAAACTTTTAATGGTTACAGAGTCTTTCACTGCTTTGTATAGTACAAGATCTTATATCATCTCCAGGTCTCCAAGAGGTAAATTATTCATGTTTTTTGCATGCTTCTAAAGTGCTATTTGTCATTTAATTCTATTTGCAGCCAGTGAAAACAGCAGAGTGCTGGTGAATTTCTGGAATGGTCAGACTAAGAAGGTGGCCTCTGACTTAGCTTTATGGATTCCTCTGCCTCTGAGTGAACGCATCATCCTTGAACTTCAGATGCCATTAGCAGCCAGGAAAATGTTGGTAGACTCCAGCTCAGACTATCCCTACATTGTGACACCTGGTTACAGAGCTTCAGGGCATTGTAGACTGGATCACTTAAATTCAGTTTGCTGGCAGGGTTCCATGCAAGTTCAGTCACATCCTAATTGCAACTCTGGATGTTCTTCACTTTGCCATTGCTGCCTTGCAGCCTGGGTGCCCATCAGGCCCTCAGTGAACCGAACACAACCAGAAGACGATCTGATCCCAGGAACAAGCCTGACCAAAGAAGAGCTGAGCAGGAAGATAGAAGAGCAGCTGTCTAAAGGGAGAGTCCCTGTTTCAGGCAGAGTCTCAAGAAAGGAAGACCAAAAGGCAAAGAAGAAGAGACTACAGAAAGAAAGTACCTCTAAAGATTTAGGATCCTGTGTGGGAATGGGAAACAAGGTTACAGAACCCAATAAGGTAGAGTGCTTAATACTGACTGGAATTACAATATCCTTTACTACAGCTGCAATAATATCCTGTGATTGATTCTGAACTTTGTGGCAAAACATTATTAGAAATACTGGACTAGATTATCATGTACAGCTGAGCTCTGCTAGGGACAGGGAAACCATAGGTGGCTTTCTATCACCTTTTTGAGTCCTTGTAAAGTCTGGCTGTTGGGCAGGAGCGTGGGGGGACGGCAACTCAGCTGGGAGCCCCATGTCAGGGGAGAGGGTTCCAGTGGCTGGGCAGAAGTGGGGGGCCAGCAACAATCACAGAGCTCCAGCCCCGGTGGCGGCCAGGGAGCTATGGCCCTGGCAGTGGTACTCTAGCTCCCAGTAGCAGCCAGGAAGCTCCAGCCCTGGTGGCAGCCAGGGAGCTCTGGCTCTAGCAGCAGTGGAGCCAGCGGCAGCTAGAGAGCTCCAGTCCAAGAAGCCATGGCCAGCCAGGCAGCTGCAGGGCTGGGCTAAGCCCTAGCCAGGGGGCAGCAGTTCAGCACAGGCCATGAGGAGAGGGACCTCCCCTGGTCCAGCAAATCCCCTTGTACAAATATAGGCATTTTTGTATACACTAATGTGTCTTTTTGGCATTATCAAATTTGGTCCCCCAAAGATTTTTAAACCATAGATCAGATGAATTTTTTTTTAATAGACACAAGCACTTTGTTGTACTAAAACTGACCTTCAGAATTCTTGGTATTTCATTTGTTTTGTTTGTAGTTTTAAAAGATTCCTTGGACTGAGTGTTACGGACAGGTCCTGAGCTGGTATAAATGATCAGAGCTCCATTGATCAATTACTAAATTTTAAATCCAGAAGGGACCATTATGATCTAGTTGAATGTCCTTCGTAAAACAAGCCAGGGAATCTGACTCAATAGCTTGAAATCACAGGACTTATGACAGTTTACACAACTGAGGATCTCCCCCAACCCCTTGTTTTAGTAATTTAATAATGAATTCTATTTAATTTGGGGTTCACGGAAGGCCAGGGTGTCAGCTCGAATGAGGCCTAGTTCATGCAGGCACAGTGCAGATTTTTCCATATGGCTCTCCCCAGTACACCACAATTCTAATTTACCTCACTTTTTTCTAGTACATTTCTGCCAATGCATCTTATTACTGGCCTACTGGTCCAGTTTTGGGTCCTTCTCATACAAAAAGATTGCCAGTTGTGGGGTAGCTTTGGGATGCAAACAAATCTAAGAAATGAGCAGCAAACTTGTACGCGTTAAGGCTTCACTTATTCCTGGAATAAAGAATAAAGAAATCAGTTTTATTTTCCTTCTGACACCCCAGTTTGGATTAGTTGTGTCCATGTCAAAATGACAGTGAAATTAGTCACTACTGTGTCATACAAAAAGATTGCCAGTTGTGGGGTAGCTTTGGGATGCAAACAAATCTAAGAAATGAGCAGCAAACTTGTACGCGTTAAGGCTTCACTTATTCCTGGAATAAAGAATAAAGAAATCAGTTTTATTTTCCTTCTGACACCCCAGTTTGGATTAGTTGTGTCCATGTCAAAATGACAGTGAAATTAGTCACTACTGTGTCCGCAAATTCAAGTAGTATGACCCAGGGTTAGCTTACACTAACAGTGTAATTAGTGCAGTAAAGGCAAGACCATACAGAATAGTAATAGAAATGTAGCCGTGTTAGTCTGGTGTAGCTGAAGCAAAATGCAGGACTATGTAGCACTTTAAAGACTAACAAGATGGTTTATTAGGTGATGAGCTTTCGTGGGCCAGACCCACTTCCTCAGATCAAATAGTGGAAGAAAATAGTCACAACCATATATACCAAAGGATACAATTTAAAAAAATGTGAACACATATGAAAAGGACAAATCACATTTCAGAACAGAAGCCTCCTTCTTATGATGGAATTGGTCAAAGACTTTTAGAAACTCCAGACACTACTTGTTTCTCTTTCAACCATTGTTTTGACTGCACTCCCAAAGAATTCTTGTGCCTATAATTATCTTGTCCACTTAGGCATTCTAGGCTGAATGCTCAAAAGGAGTTAAGACATTTTGACACTGAGCATGACAGCACCTAACTTTTAGGGGAATGGGGAAAGATAGGCATTGTAGACTGAGATTTACAAAAGCCAGCATACAAGGCATGGAGCAGCTTAAGATAGCCATTGGTTGATACTGATGCCTCTCTGAAGGAGATAGGTGTCTAAATGCAGGCTGCAAAGAGATGTCTATCTCTGCCGATGATTCTTAAGTTAGGACCCCTCTTTGGAACTGGGCACCTTATCCTGGCTTATTTCTAAAATAGCATGACAACTTTGCTCATAGCTTTTAGACCAGAGGAGAGGACTCCTACCAAGAAGAGCTCTAGTCTGAGTCCCTTCTCTATCTTAGGGGGAGAAAGATCCCTGTTCAAATCCTATCATCTCTTGGAGGGCTGCTTTCACCACTAAGCTCTAGGACATTCTGGCTGAGGATTTCCTCAGTCACTCCCAGGGAGGCTGTTGCACTCTAGCTAAACAGGTCCTGAGTCTTCAACAGTCTGGGTGAGTGGTTTAAATTCCAGACTCAAGAATGTGTGTTCTTTTTCTCTGCACATGCTCAGGGACAGACACACAGATGCCTGAGGAATTTTTGCTGCAATACAAAACAAACCTTACACAGCGAGTGAAGGTGCCTGCAGATGTGATGGAGGGAGGAAAAAGGTTGTGCATCATAGTGGTGCTAAAAATGGGACTCTAGTGCCTAATTCTTTTTGAGCATTCAGTCCTATATATAGACGATAGATCGTATGGGGTGTTCTGGATGGGAGCTGGAAGCATGTAGGTAACTGTATGAGTCAGTGGGTTTTCTGTAGAGAGTGGTGTCTAATTTTCCATTGTTGATTTGTACTGTGGTGTCCAGGAAGTGGACCTCTCGTGTAGAATGGTCCAGGCTGAGGTTGATGGTGGGGTGTAGGTTGTTAAAATCTCTGTGGAATATCTCCAGTGTTTCTTGGCCATGTGTCCAGATCATAAAGATGTCATCGACCATACAGTATCTTATTTTGTAAATTCATGTTACTAACTCATTTTACTCCCCCCACCCCACCCCGGCTCAGCATTTTGATAGTTTCCTGTTGTCTGCAGAGCCCTCAGAGGGAAATGGCTTCAACAGACTTGACGGGAGATGCTCCTGTCATGGTGGATGCTGCTGTCCATCCAGACACCTGCCTAATGGAACCAGGGCACAGTAACAAAGAAGATGGCAGATGCTATGGGGCTGATCATGAGTCTCTTCTGAAGAATGAACCCGGTATTGGTATCGTATCAACTAGCTATTTCATACAAGCATAGGGCATGTCCTACCAGATGTGAGCATTTGTTCTTCTTGTCTGGTCTCTTGTCGTTGGCAGTATTTCATTCCTGGTGCCTTAAAGGAAGATAAGAAAACACCATAATGCATCTCGTCAATCGTGCTCTGCTATGCTCAGGCCCTATAGATTGTGCACTATGGTGATTTACTTATCTTCCTCTGAAACATAAATGTTTCCTTTTTAGGCTCCTGCAGCTGCTACTTTGTGTCCTGAAATATGATCTTTGATTGCTCATTTTAGAGATTTCTCTAAATCACTAGAGATTTTATTAGTCCTAAAGCTACCTGCTCTTTTTAAAATCTGACTGTAGTATTTGACTGGACTGCCTGTGGCAAAGGATTTCTCAAGTAGGCTGTAATTTGTGTGAAGAAAGATGTGTTCTTCTTTGTTCTAATTACTGCTCTTTAATTTCCTTGTAAAAGCAACGAGGAGTCCTGTGGCACCTTATAGACTAACTGAAGTGTAGGAGCATAAGCTTTCGTGGGCAAAGACCCACTTCGTCAGATGCAACATGCATCTGACGAAGTGGGTCTTTGCCCACGAAAGCTTATGCTCCTACACTTCAGTTAGTCTATAAGGTGCCACAGGACTCCTCGCTGCTTTTGTAAATTTTAAAAAGGAAGGGAGCCAAAGTTTATTTACTGATCAGGAGAGTGAGCTCATTCTATGAATTAATGTTGGTGGTTTACTTCCAGAGCGCAGGAAATTTTTATTTGATAGACCCTGCTCCGTTCCTTATACTGTCACTTGAAAAGAGCTACCCAAATGCATATCCATTCTGACTCTTGAAGAAAATAGGAAAGGGCTTAGTTTTGCAGCCGGTGGAGGAGTGCACTCTCCAGGAGCTTGATACCTTCTCCAGCAATCATCACCAGTCCCCATTTCATGTTCCTGGATCCACGACAATGACTGAGGAAAAGTTTGTGGCGTATGTGCAGTAGTGTTTCCAGCATATGCTGCTTGTTTGTTTGGCATTTTGGCATGAACTATTACAACATGGGAGGTTTATTGTGTGATAAATTCCAATAACTATTGTTAGTTGCTAGAAAGAAATCTTGGAAAAGTTAATGGAGATTAAACAGTGTCATTTCCTTGTGTAGATTCTTGTTCTTGTATTATAAAAAAGGTTCATAGTATAAAATACCTTTCAGTGAAGTCCCCTTTAACCAATGGCTTCTACACTTTAAAGAGAGCTCTGTGCAAGCAACTGGGAATGGATTTTAAAGGCCAAGAGCGTCCTCTTGCCATATCACTTATTTAGGGCCTTTGTACCAGTCCCTGTCCAACTTCCATCAAGGAGAGGCTGAAACTATTACAGCACACATGCGCGTTCCCTCACAGGCAGGATATCCAGCACCATGCCCTACTACAGTACTCCTATTGAGAGAGGCTCAATAGCTATGAGCATAGTCAATGCTTCATCCCAGTTATTCAGTAAAAACTCCTCCTTGTCTAGATTGGCAAGATTATTTTTGAAAGTGGTTACTGTCCTGTGGTCACTAAAAAGCTCTCGCTTGTGTTTTATAAGGTGTTATCATCTGTTATATCTCTAACTTGTTTGAAAGCTCTTTTTCAGTCCAGCACAACAGAAGCTACAGCCCAGTGTCCTCCAATAAACCCTCCTCTGAAAGTACAGGCTTTCAGCACTTCCAGTCTCCAAGCTGTGTTTAACCGAGTGGAGCAATCTCTGAAGAAAGACCGTTTGACGATTGAATCAGTTCTGCATATACAGAGACCCCACAGTGCTCTGAGTACACAGGTTAAGATCACACAGTATTTTCTAGGAAAAATTTTTAAAATCTGCCTACTTAAATCAATTGGCTTATTCCACAAAGTTCTTTTTGTCGATTTTCTGAAAGGTTATTTCCCTAAGGGCCTAAAATTTCATTTCTGATCGGTTAAGTGTCAAGAGAATGAGTTGACACTTTTGCTTTGGTGACCATTGGACGCTGTCTCAAATTCTTCAGTTCAGCCACCTCCCCCTATTCTTGGCCATCTCTGCATGAGCATAAATTTGATAGCCTGAGGACTGATCTAATTTGTGTTGATTGTTGAGAGGACAGGGATACCTGGACATGCTCCAGTTACACTCTTTGTTGGCAGATGGAGGTGTAGAAATTTCTACCCTGTTGTGGGGGAATCCTCCGGTGGTGTAGCCATCGAGGGCAGACCATGCTGTTTTAAGAGCTGTATTATGTTGATAGTGTGATGCAAAGCAGCTGTACTACAACAACATAATCTGGTCCAATTAGTTCCTGGCCAGGAGGTTCATAGGATTTATTCACATGGCATAGTATAAAATCAATTAGCATGGCCTCTTTGTTTGTCCATTTTATGAGAACAATGCATGTTGTCATTTTCCAGGAACAGGAATTTTCTTGTATGCTTAGTCCTTCTGTGAAGCTTTCATTTTCACATATGGTCTAATATTCTTAGTCATCCTTGTAAGATATAGAAAACATTATTTTTCTTTTGGGTCATTTCAAAATAATAATTTCTGAAATAATAATTTTGAAATAGTGTGTCCGCACTACAGGGAAACCTCAAAATGAGTCCAAGGCAGGCTCTGTTAATGTAGACCCACTACCTCAACTTAGAGCCCCAGGAAGCACTGGGGAGTCATTAGTTTGAATTACTCTGGGCAAGTGTTATTTTGAAATAGCTGCACCAGAGTGTCCACACTACTGCTATTTTGAAATAACTGTTTCGAAATTAGCATTATTCCTTCTGGAAAGCAGGAGTTACTATTTTGAAATAACCAGTCTGCTATTTTGAAATAACGCGGTAGTCTGGATGCTCTGCTTGTTATTTCAAAATCACTCGCTAGTGTAGACCAGGGTTTATAGATAAGGAAACAATGGAACAGCGCAGTTAAATGTGTACCCATAGCCATAGGGAAAGTCTGTACATATCACAGTTGGGATAAAAACTCAGGGTGCCTTTATCCTCAATACTGTGTTCTAGCTACTAGCTCAGTGGTTCTCAGCCAGGGTATGTTTACCTCTGAGGGTAGCAGGTATAGGTTGCACCTCTGAAAACCGGAACTCTCTGGTTCGGCAACATCCGTGGTCTGGCAAGACCACAGATGCTCCTGGACCAGAGAGCCCCAGAGCCTAATGGCAGGAGGGCCAGTAGACTCGCTGGAGCTGGGGACAGCAGGGCTGGAGGAACCCCACAGCAGTGTTGGACCACAGACCAGCGAATCTTGGCAGCCCACTGAAGTGCAGAGTTGGGGGCTGGTGAATTCCAGGTGCCTGAGGCAGCGCAGAGTTGGGGGCTAGAGAAGCTCAGGCTCCCGCAGCAGCATGAGGTTGAGGACTGGAGAAGCCCAGGTGCCTGCAGCAGCATAGGACTGGGAGGAATTTGGCCACACGCTGGAGAACCCCGGCCGCCAAAGGGGGCCAGAGCTGGCAGCAGCAGAGTGTGGGGAGAGAGTAGAGAGGGCCAAGGCAAGGGGCCGGCTGGCTTGGGACTCATGGCAGGGGATACCACTGGCAAATTCTGTTGTTTGGGACCAGCAAGGTCCAACCTGTACAATACTTATATTCCAATTGATTTATTTTATCATTATATGGTAAAATAAGAAAGTAGACAATTTTTCAATAACAGAGGGTATGTCTACACTACCACCCTTGTTCGAACTCAGGTGATTAATGTAGGCAACCGAAGTTGCAAATGAAGCCCGGGATTTAAATATCCCAGGCTTCATTTGCATCTTGCCGGGTGCCGCCATTTTTAAAGCCCCGGTAGTTCGGACTCCGTGCCCGCGGCTACACGCAGCACGGAGTAGGTAGTTCGGATTAGGCTCTCTAATCTGAACTACCGTTACTGAGGTGTACCGGTAGTTCGGATCAGAGCCTAATCCGAACTACCTATTCCGTGCCGCGTGTTTCGGATTAGGCTCTCTAATCCGAACTACCGGTACACCTCAGTAACGGTAGTTCAGATTAGAGAGCCTAATCCGAACTACCTACTCCGTGCTGCGTGTAGCCGCGGGCACGGAGTCCGAACTACCGGGGCTTTAAAAATGGCGGCGCCCAGCAAGATGCAAATGAAGCCCGGGATATTTAAATCCCGGGCTCCATTTGCAACTTCGGTTGCCTACATTAACCACCCTTGTTCAAACTAGGGTGGTAGTGTAGACATACCCAGACTGCTGTGACACTTCTGTATTTTTATGTCTGCTTTAGTAAGTAAGTAGCTTTTAAATAGGTGAAATATGGGAGTATGCACGACAAATCAGACTCCTGATGGGGTACAGTAGACTGGAAAGTTTGAGAACCCCTTGTTCATCTTCCATTTATAAAGTACTTTTTAATTTTTTGAAGTTTCACTTTTTTATATTCAATCTTTCCAGCTGTAACACATAAAGCATGAACCACTTACAGGTCATAGATTTTGAAAACTAACTTACATCATACAGCAAAGAAAACACTCAAGAGATTTAGCTAAGGTATTTACAGCATCAGATACTGACTTTTTAATTAAAAAACACAGAATAAGTACTGTTCTAGGACACTCATGAAAATAGGGAATGAAATTGCTGTCTGAAGTTCTTATTGCAAAGGAACTATAACTTACTGTTGTTTAAACTAAAACTTGTATCTGACGCTTCAGTGATTAATTACAGGATGAGCTGCCTCTCTGCAGATACACTTGTGTTAGGAGTAGGGAAATAAAAAATTAACCAGCTAAACGATTTTAATTATATTGGTTAACTGAAACAAAAGCTGGTGCAGGGACTGTGGTCCTATGGCGGGGTCTACTCTTGGCAGGGGCTGCCTCAGCCAGAGTCCTGCCAGCTACCCCATCACAGGCAGGGGACTCCTCTACCCTGGCCCTCAGTATGCAAGGCTGCTCCAGCCTAACTGGCTGCAGTTGGGGTCCTGCCAGCTGGACCCTGTTATGCCGCAGCCAGGGTGTGTGTGCGCTTTGGTTGGGCCCTGGGCACCATGCCATGAGCGGGGGGACCTGCTCTGGCTGGACCCTGTGCGCCAAGTCACAGGTAGTGGGGGAGGGCCTGCTCCAGATAGGTAAGCATGCTGGTAAGGCTAATGCTTACTGGGTAACCTTTTACATCCCTAGTCAGCAGTACACTACATATTCAGAAGACAAAGTAATGAGATTTAAAAACTCAGTTTTTCATCCCCAAGGATATGCTTTTACAAACTACAAATAAGAAACACTCTTCAGCTCCCACATACAGCTACTTCTTGTGTCAAACACTACATGGCAATGTTACACAGCAGGAAGTGAAGAATGTAGTATCTGTTCAAAACTAGAGAGAGAAATTTCTTTTGTCACTGGTGGGCAGAATGCAGTTATCCCTCCTGTAATTTGTCAGCACACATAGGTTAAACCCCCCAATTATAAAACATTATGGGGTATTTTTAATAACCACATGTGGTCAGAACCTCTATTCTGATCCAAAAGTTGCAGTAACAATATAGGTGGTTCCATGCATTGGGTCAATACTAAGTTGGATCAGTGCTGCCTACTGAATTGTGAATACCATTTCTTGAAGTATCTGGATTTTCCTTCACCCAGCTAGTTATAGACCATGCTTGACCCTTCGATAGAGCTCCTGAAACATGCTCGTGTCACACCCATCGTGTTCACAGTTCAGAAATGTTTCTGTGACAATAATCAATAAGTGTTGCTCTCAGCATTCAGGAGTTACATTGGAAAATTAAGTCTTACCATCTAGCAGCACTTTGGTTTACATTAGGAAAAAACCTTTACTGATATTAAGGACTTTTTCTTTCAGAAATCAGTCACCAAAGGTACAACTCAAAGGAACCTAAGAGAGATGAACTTCAACACAGCCAGGATTGAGCACAGAAGGAAGCAAGAAGAGCAGAGGCAGCAGAAGCGGGAACAACAGCAAGAGGCAGAAGGCCTCAAACGCCAGTTGATGCGTGACAGCAAGCGGTAATGGTGTGGGGTGCAGGTGAAAGGTCAGCGAGTGGAGGAAAGATTTCAGCAATGCCTGAGGCTTGGCCATTTCTATAAGTATTGGGTATTCTGTAATACATGCTTGCTGAGCTAGTGCTATCTTAAATGTTTATAGATTGTCCTCCCACTCTAGTGCCTGAGTGCTGGTCACAGTCCTCCATGTAGAGCCTATGTCTTAAAGGGCTTGCGCACTCTCAACTCCCATCCAAGGCAATGAAAGGCACATATCACCTTGCAGGATTGGGCCCTTAAATACTACAATTGGATTAGTTATGGTTCTGAAATGCACTCCTGCTGCTCTCCCCAGCAGCAGGAGTTTACCCTTTTCTTTATGCAGTTGGATAAAATGATAAATTTCCAGTAGGGACTCATGAAATCAGAGACATCTTTTAGTGTGAAACATTCTCGTATTTTGTTATGAGGCAGAGGAGTCAAAATTATGCCCAGCTGAGGGATCTGCATTGGTCACTTGCCTGTGAGGGCAATACCTAATTGCATGCAATAGAGTAGGATCACAGTTGTCTTTATCTTTGAGCTTGCCTGCATGAGGAGTTATTCCTAATTTATTCACTGTGTGAATGCTCTAATTCTGGAATAAGTGCTCCTTCTTCTGAATTAGCACAATCCACTCTGGAAGTTGATTAAGTTAAGTCAGAAGAAGGCACTCTTATTTTGGAATAATAGCATCTACACAGAGAGTTAGTCAGCACAGGTGTGTCTAGACTACATGGCTCCATCAACGAAGCCATGTAAATTTGTTTACTCGGCAAAGGGAAATGAAGCGGCAATTTAAATAATTGCTGCTTCATTTAAATTAAAATGGCTGCCGCGCTATGCTGATCAGCTGTTTGGCGGCACAGCGCTGTAGTCGGGACACTCCGTGGTCGATATCAAAGGCATTTGTCGACCTCCCCGTTATGCCTCGTGGGATGAGGTTTACAGGAGAGGTCGACAAATGCCTTTGATGTCAACCGCGGAGCATCCAGACTACAGCGCTGTGCCACCAAGCAGCTGATCGGTACAGCGCGGCAGCCATTTTAATTTAAATGAAGCAGCAATTATTTAAATCGCCGCTTCATTTCCCTTTGCCTACAACCCTAATCTACATGGCTCCGTCAGCAAAGCCATGTAGTCTAGACGTGCCCCAAGAGACACGTATTCCACTTTGAAATCACACTCTTCCTTAATTCAAATGGACTTTCATGTTTAGACAAACCTCATCTTGATCTGATCTCAGCATATGCTGGTGAAGAATGAATAGAGTATGCTGGGACCTGAAGTCTTGGACTATATTGTAGACCACCTGTGGGCTGCATTTGGTAATAAATTACAGTTTAGTCCTCGTTTTAACAGTACATAATAGCTAGCAATAGTTGCAAACTTTATAGACAAAAACAAAATTTAACATTTTTGACTATTTTTCCACCACCTGTAGTAATAATCTGAGCAGAAATGTACTCAGGAGACTGCAGTTAATCCTCTTAACTATGCAAAAAATGGCATTGTATATTCAATGTCCGAAAATTGTCAGGACCTCTGGTTTACATCTTATTCATTGACCCTTGTAGAAATGACCTTTTTCCTTTGTTTCTCTTGGTTTCTGACATGCTTTCTAGCAATTTTTTTTTGGAAACAGGCAGAGGTCACTTCAGAGGACACTGCAAGCCTTGGAGAAGCAGCTGGAGTTCAATAATAAGGCCTGGCAGCATATGGCAAAGCTCCAGACTGCCAAGGCAGAGAGAAACAGAAAGGAGTTGTCTTTGAAGGAAGAGGAGAAGAGAAAGGAGAATGAAAGGCTGCAGTTCTTAAAGGCACAGCACTTGCAGAGAGAGGAGCTGCAGGCAGAGTACAACAAGAAGAGCTATGATCAAGACAAAAAGAGACAGGTGAGGGCTATTCTTGGACTCTTCCTTTGCTACCCTGCCACTAACACCATCTAAAATAATGATATTATTTAGAAATATCTATATGAAAGGTGGTTTTAATATGTGCAGACTGATGCAAGGAGAGCTGGAGATGCCCACATAGCTATAGGACAGGAACTATTTTAAAATGCCATGTTCCAGCCTTCTGCAGCAGGAGTCCTTGTAAACTAAGAGTTGTATCGAAGGTGCTGACATTGGCAAATTCCCAACAACCTATTCCCAACTTCTATCCATAACAGGCACTAGGTGGGACTGAGCCTGAGAGCCAGCTGTAAGACTTTCAATTCTTTTACTGTAGGATATGCTGCAGAGCAGAATGCAATCCCGGCAGGAGACCTTAGAACAAGAAATCCAGGAGCACGACATGCAGCAGAAGCAGCATGGGGATGCAAAATGGACAGCCTTCCAAAATCGGGATCGTTTTCAACAGAAGATGGAAAAAGAGTGCCCAAAACATCGTAACCTCCAGCAGTACCTCAGAGAGCAAAACCTTTTGATGCTCCGGGCTTCACTGCTGTCATAAAAAGCCTGCTACATAGGCAAGCAGGCCTAGGAACACTGTAAAACTTTAAGTGTGAGTCCACATGCTAATGTCCGGGAAATGGTGCTGTTGAGGCAAGCAAAAATATTATTATTAGAGCTAGTTGATATCTTCCCTTCATCACAGCCAAAGAGCCTTTTCAGCTTTTTCTTTTGGAGATGCTAATCAGTCTACTGAGTTTGAAGACACCCAGCTTGATGTCTGGCTTCCATGTGCCTTACATGCTACACATGTAGTAGTCTAGCAGATGGATGCAACTCAGGTCAGGGCTAGGGATGATAATGCTCAGCAAGCGAGAAAGGAATTTGCAGTGTGATTTGCCATCTCAAAACAAAAAAACACCCAAAACCTAGTGTTGAGGTTCAGACAGGCATTAGAGGGAGCAGGATGGTGACAGTCCCTGCCCAAGACAGCGTTGCTGCAAGGTTGCATTCATTTCTGAGTCTCCGAGTGAAAGGAAGATGGCAACAAACTGGAGGGAGTGAAGCAACATAATGATTTTATGGGACTGACTCACTTAGAATCAAAGAAAAAAAATATTGTATAGCAAGGGAGAGGAACATCAAGCTGTAAACACCAAAGAAGGAGAATTATTATTTAGGCTTCTAAAGAGGTATACTTAAGGAATATACCCTAAGGGACATAAAAATAAGAAAAAGTAGGAATAGGGATATACAAATAAGAAAAATTTGAATGTCAGGAAAAGCTTCCTGAAACCACCATTTGTTGAGCTCTGTATTACCTTCCCATGAGAGCTGTGGAAGCCCCATCCCTGTAGCCATTTTAAGTGAACAGCCAAAGGAAGTATATTGTTGGGAACAATTCAGCACTGGCAAGAGGGGAAACCACATGACTAGGTGTGACATTCTGTACCTCAAAGCAGCTCCCTGGAACCACCATATTCACCACTGTGATATGATTAGGATATGCTTTGTACAAATTATGCCTTTTAACATTCTTTTAAAAGTCTCAATCTGTTGAACATTAATATCATGTTGGGTTGTATCTGCTATCATTATAAGTGAAGTTATTAAGTACTTCTATATACGCTCCTGAAATATGTTGCAAGGCAAGAACACCCACAACCAGTCTTTCAGTTACAATAAAGGAGTAGTCAGATAGCAGTAATAACTCATCAACACATACTCCACTATCCCAGAGCCTTTTTGGCAAAGTCATATATACCATCGGGGCAGACTAACCCACGTCACAGCAAAGATCTTTCCAGCAATCTGGAAGAAAGTATAAGAGAGACAATGACATTATTACTTGGCTTTGCTTCCCAGCTCAACATGTGGAAGAACATCTGGAGGACAAAGACTTTGAACTGGGGAAGTTTGGTCCCAGGCTGGAAGGCGGTCCCAGCCTGTTTATAGAGGAACTGATGGATCACAAAGGTAACGTATGATTAGCAAGAAGAATTGCTATTGCCACCAGCAAACTTGCAAGATATACCAATGATGTCACTGCTCTGAGACACTGTGCCTAGATGAAGGCTAACTGAGAAAAGAAGGTGGACAGTACACCTTTTTCTGGAAAGGAAAGTCTGCCAATGACAGGTGCACTCACAATGTCTGTTTTGCAATGAGAAATAAGTTTGTCAGTCAGCTTACAGAATTTCCAGTAGGAATCAATGAATGTCTTATGACTTTTTGTCTTAAGCTCAGTAACAAACAATCTGATGCTGTCATCAATGCATATGTCTCAATACTTGATTCTGTTGAGGATATTATGGAACAATTCTATACAGATCTTGACACAGTCTTGATCAGCAATCCCAAGGAAGACAAAATCATTCTCCTCAGAGATTTTAATAATAGAGACGGTGGGAGTCAAATTTTTGGACGGGCACTTTGAGGAAAGAAGGAATTGGAAAGGCTAACACCATCACATGCAGCAAAACAACATACCACAACAGCAGAAGAAAGAATTTATAGGCAACACCAGACTGAAGCGCAAAGGAAAATCTGTGATATCAGAAATAAGTGGTGGTGAGAAAAGACCAAGAAGATTAAGGTTTACACTGATAAACATGACATGAACTTTTTTCAGGCAGCAAGTACAATTTATTGTCTATACTTCCATAGATCTGCAGTGCTCCAAGCCATAGGTCAGTGCATTTTAAGGACAGCAACACCATCAAAACCAGATAGAAGGAATATTTTGAGTTACTCCTGAACCACGAGTCAACTTTCTCTGATGCCACTATCGAAACTATACCTCAATAACATGAAAGAGCATCTCTTGCTGACCCTCCCTCACCACCACTATGCTTGAAGAAGTAACATGGACTGTTATGCAGACCAAGAAAAACAAAGCAGCAGAGCCAGATGGCATTCCAGCTGAAGCCTACAAGTTCAGAGGTAAAGAACTAGTAAGGAAGCTCCACAAAAGTTTCCTTCGGAGCTGGTATAATGAGAAAATTCCAGAAGACCTGAGAAATTTTAACATTGTTACAATCTTTAAGAAAATAGATAAATTGGAAACTATTAAGGAGAAGCTCTATGGAAGATGCAGGCTTAATTTTGCCACCCTCCAATTTTTTTTTTTTTGAGGTCTTACAACTTCTGCATGGTCTGATGACTGTCACAGTTCTCTATAATGGTCTTGAGATGGAACCTTTCATCATCAAAACTGGGGTTAAGCAAGGCTGTATTATTGTTCCAACCTTGTTCTCCATCTATTTAGCAGTCATTTTGGTCCTTGTTAAAGATCACCTTCCCAGTGAAGTTGACATTCAATAAAGAATGGATGGTCGGCTGTTTAATCTTTGTCATCTCCCTTCAAAGTCTAAAATGTCTTCAGTGCATCCACTACTGATCTTCAAAATGCTGATGACTATGTCATCCTCACATACATTGAGAATGACCTTCAGGGCATACTAGATTTCCTTGCACAAGCTTACCAAAACATAGAAATCTCACTCAATATTGACAAGACTAAAGTGCTTGATCAAACTGCTTCAGGTCTTACACATGATCCTCCAAAATCCACATCAGGGGTCAAATTTGGAGACAGCTGAACACTTGCTACCTTAGTAGCCAACTTTCTAAAAACACAAAAATCAACAATGAGATCCAACACAGGATCCAATGTGCAAGTGCTTCTTCTGAGAAATTGCTCCGATGTATTTTCATGACTGTGACCTACAGCAGGACACCAAGATCCAGGTCTATACGATAATTTTTGTTTCCACACTCTTTTATGGATGTGAGACTGAAACCTTTTGACAGCACCTCAAGAGTATGGAGAGATACCACCAATGATGCCACCAGAAGATCCTTTGTGTCAAATGGCAATATCAATGCATTAACACCAGCATCCTCGCTGAAGCCAATGTCACCAGCATTGAAGCTATGATGACCATACATCAACTTATCTGGATTGGACATTGTGTGCCGATGCCAGACTTTCACCCCCCAGAACAAGTCCTCTACTCTCAGCTCAACCATGGTTCAGGTCTAGACAGCAGATGGATGGCTCAGTCCCTCTTAGGTTGTGGAAGGGAGAAGCTGTGGTGACAGAGGCAGGCTCTGGAGAGGAGACTTACCAGCCAGCAGCCCGACCAACCTGCCTGCCTGCAGAGCTAAATGCTTGCAGAGCTTAAAACATTTCTCAGCCAGCTTGCCTGCCCTGCACCATGTGCTTGTGTGAATAAATGAGCGGGAGGGAAGGGGGGCATGGTGCTTCATATGCTGCCTGTTATTCAAATAGGCAGTACCCATTGGCCAGTTTCTGGCCAATGGGATTGTGCTGGGGGCAGGGGCAGCGCCTGAAGCCTTCCCCCTTCTCCTCCAGGATCAGTTTTGAAACAACCACTTTTCTGAGTGGTCTGTAGGGCAAGCAGGGAAGCCTGCCTGGGGCTCCCCGTTGTGTCCGTGGGCCAGATCCAGTGGCTTGATGGGCCGAATTGAACCCACAGGCCGCATTTTGCCCAGGCCTGAACTAATCAATAAGGAGGCGACAGATTAGCTCCAATACTTGTTACTCAAACTTTGATATAAAATAAAGGGCTTTATTGTTGTAGAAGAGCATAGGCAGGACAGGGGACCATGAGGACATCTGGAAAGGTCTTTGGGCACCTGGATGCTCTGTACATGGTGATGGCTGAAACCCTGTATAATGGGGAATAATCCACAACTTCTCATGAGAGGGGAGAAATGAGAGTCTGGCCCCAGCTCCAGGCTGTTTTCCCATTCGCTGCCAAGGAGCACAGTCCTTGCCAAAGAACCCAGCAATGCAAGACAAACTTCAGTGGCTGCTGCTATGGTAGGAGAGAAGCGGCGGTTCTGATGAGAAGTGGTTTAGCTGCCTCCAAGATATCCAGTTCGGGGTCCAGTGAACGGGCAAGCCCTTCCAAAACCATGATAGCAAAGACTACTGAGGCAAAGTTACTCTCCAGCTTCACCTGAAAGACACAAGTGCAGAGGCTGCAATGGACTTGAGGGCCTTTGTGCTTTCCAAACCCCTTTCACTGAAGTGCCAGCCTGCGGTGGGCGAGGGCTGGGAGGACATGCGTGTGCACAGATCGCTTCCTCATTCCCCTTCCATTCCTAAGCAGCCTCGCTACAATTCAGCAGAAGGGAGGAAGGGAAGCTGATCATCACGAAAGAAATACTGTAAATCAGGCCAGTAGACAGTGCTCTGCACTTCTATGTAGGAGAAGACTTTTCCCTCCCTGGAGGAGGAGGAGCTAGGAGTGAAGTCAGCTCAGTAGTTTCCATGGACCTGCAAGTACACACACATGAAAAGGGATTGAATTTGTCCCTTCCCCACTGCCATGGATGGAGCCCCATGGAGCACTGCTCCCTAATTCACAGAAGTAGACCCCTAATTCTACATCCAGACTGCCTGCACCATGGCCCCAGCCATGCAAGAGAACTCCTCCACATCCTACTGCCATCTACATCTGCTGAGTCGGGCGGGGGGGAGCCTTATTGGGGCTCTGGTCACATTTAATATTAATGGGGGTAGTTTGATGTGGTTTTACATCCGAAAATCTGAAATAAAATAAAGTTTGAGGGGACACTATTCAGGTCAACCACCCCAGCATTTGACCCAGACACTGTTCTGATCTTTTAAAAGTCCATAGGACAGATCCTCAGCTGGCATAACTTGTCATAGCTCAGTTAAACAAAAGTGATTTTTTTCTGCTTTAAAGTAGATGCCAGCAGCTCCTGGGTCCTCGGTAACACACTCACAAATCAGCACGAAGACCCCAGTGCTCCTACATGAATCTACAATAAGGAAGCAAAACATGCAGGGAAAAAAACAATTACTTTTTATTTTCCTTTTAACTGTAAGAAAAAAAAATCGAGATATCAACACCGTCCTTTTAAGGTCTGGAGTCCATTCTTAAATGCAGGCTATCAAGGGCCAGATCCAGAGCCCTCTGAAAGGTGGAAAAATACGGTTTTACAGGCATTGGATCAGGCCCTGGGAGGCACTCTCTTCCAAGCATTGCAGGCATACAGCATGCATGACCCCCCCTCATTGCAAACCTTTGCAACCTCAGTGCTTCCCCCTGCCTGTCTCTCTGATGGCAAATCTGGCACAACTTTTAAGGAGAATGAAATGAACACAGAGAAGCTCACCTTGTGGACCATCAGTAACTTAAAGACACTGGAGAGCAGATTCGCCACTTGAAGCTGGCATGCAAAGATATAAAGAAAAAGTTAATTGTGCTAATCAGAAGACTATGGAAATCGCTGCCTGCAGGAATGGGGTGCATCTGCCAGAGTAAGCAATATGCATATTGTATGACCAGGTAAAGTCTAAGAATATTAAGAGTCAGATTTTATTATTAGAGAGATTGCTCAGAAAACGTTTCTATGCTCTATTGACAGCCTCATCCATCAAGATGATAAATAATGCAGAGGGCATCAGGAGACACTCCATCAATATCTATGGCTCTCTTAAACCTGCCAATCCAGAAAGGAGGTCTGAGAGCTAAGGAGACACAACAATCAGCCTCTGCTTTGCTCTGCAGCCTCACCACTGGGGCACTACTATTGGTTTAAAAGGGAGTCCCAGTAGGATTTGACCAGAAGGATAGAAGCTCTTCTTGGATTAAAAAAAACAACAACACTATTTTGAGTTAGAAGGAAATAAAAGAGGAGCTAGGGGTATTGATGGAGTGTTTGTCCAGCTATGAGAATCAAACATTGGAAAGAACTGGTAGCACGGACAAGGGAGATGGCTGAAATGTCAGTGTGTAGTCTTTCATCTGGGGTCCGTTTAAAAGCATGGATGTATTCAAAAAGAGGGAGTGTCCGGAGCTGGGTACCATATTTAGTCTGCTCACCTTTCCCAGAGCTACAGTGTTCATTCTGGCCTTGGTCACTAGCTCTGCCATTTCAGCTTTGAATCGTTCTATGTCCTGGCACTGGTTAGCCCTGGCATGATGAAGGATCAGCTCTGCCACTCTCTCCCCCTGTGAAACAAGTAGGAAGAGATGTGTCTATAAGAATCCCAGGCCATCGTAACACTGCCAGATCTGTATGCGGCTGCACAATATCTTCACTCTTAGGCTTCCACTGGCATCTGTTGGGATTAAGCTGCTTCCTATATGAGTGTACACTGTCCCTTTTCAACCAGAGGGGGAGATCTCAGGGGCTAGGCTACCTTTGCCAGCACCTCAAGGGCAGACAGAGACTGACAGAAAGAGAGGAAGTGCTTCTTGGAGGAGTTGGTATGTGGGAAAAATCTAACGCTCCTGTTCCTTTAAGGGCCTGGGACTAGGAGCCACCTAGTATTGGCAAGGCAGAATCCCTGCTCTCTCAGCCAATCAGGACAAGTTCTGGAAAGGAGGCTGTATATATTATGCCTCTTCCCTCATAATAGGGGAGACAGTGGTTGCTGGCTAACTGCTCCCATGTCAGGGTGACAAACTATACCCTCGGCCTCCAAAAACTGAGGGAACATTGGGAAAACCCCACTCCAGCGAGGTGCCTGGTGAGAAAGAAACATTTGGTGTGAAGGGTTTTTCAAGTTTTGTTAATTTGAAAGGCTTCCAACCCAGGGCAGATGGAAGGAATTTAAAGGGCTAGCTTAGAGAAGATGGTTTGAGGCTGCAGCCCAGAGGGCTGGCCGGCCAACGGAAATAGTGACAGGACATCATGTAAAAGCCATTTATCTGTAGGCCACTAGTTTAAAGCCAGCTTGTGTTTCTAGTGGCCAGAAGTAGTTTCACTTCAGTGGCTGAGTGAGTGTGGTCTTAATACAGTTCCTGACAGATAGCTATTTATTGCAGCCGGCACTAACTGCCACATATGCTGGCAGTCTGAGAAGGGAGACCAAAGATGGAGTGGGCATGAAGATAAAACCACATCCCCCTACACTGTAGCGGACCTTTCAGCTCAAGAATGAGATGAAGCAAATGCATTGTGGAAGCACTGACATGTGAATTGTACTTATGCTGTGGATAAACAGAAGTCTTCTATGGTCATGCAGCAAGCACGATAGGAGCTTAGCTCATAACTGGGGTGCTAGGATAACACAAATAATTATTACTGTCCAGCTCACTAGAAGCACAAAGCGGTGGGAGATTGCCAGTGGCGAATCCTCCTGCATGGAAGAACTCTTAACTGGATGAAACCATGCTAAGATATCTCATCTGCCTTCCACGCCCCTTGCTCTCCCAAGTCCCTGGTACAAGGAGAAGGAAGGGACATGTTGTGGGCCTTCTGGGAGCAGGCACTGGGGGATGAGGAAGGAGCAGAGCTCCGTGGCTTAATCCTGAAAGACCTTACGCAGGCTGCATGAGCTAGGATTGCCTGCAGGGAGTGAGGCTGAACAGTCCTGAATTGGGGAGCTGTGACTTCCCTCTGACTCCTGAATCAAGCCCAGCGCTCTCCTGGGCTAACTGAACTCATTCATAACAAGAACTCATAGTAACCCCTTACTTGTGCGTGTAATGCAGTTATCAAGGAAGCTGAGAGTGTCTGAGAAGTAATGACCCTCCTTCCCTCTCATAGGAACCCAAAACAGCACTCACATGGGGAATGGCTGCTGACAACTGCGATGACTGAGGAACCCCAGAGATCTCCCTTCTAGTGTTTCCTCTAAGCTGCGAGGCAGCACAGCTTCACAGGTGATTATTCAGCCCCGCCCAATCAGAGGCTCTGGGCTCCCTCAGAGCTGACTGACTGGGCGGGGCTGATTAATCACCTGTGAAGTTGTGCTGCCACACATCTTAGAGAGGGATCACTGCTCCCTTCCCCCAAATTGAAGTCTCCAGGACCATCAGCATCCATGAGAAGCAAGCCTCACCTGTCCCTGGACTACAGCCGCAAAAACTGCCTTGAAGTTCTGAAGGTCAGCTCCCTTCAGTTCTGCCACAATCCCTGTATCCAGCAGCATCAGACGAAGTGGGCAGGAGGAAGGCTGCACCTCCACGATCAATGTGTCACACATGTCCACAATGGCAGTCTGATCCTTGCGGCCAGCATTGAAACTTGTGATACCCTGGACCAAGATGTTCCCAGGGTGCAGATCAGCATGGACAAAATTATCCACAAACACCTGTTGGGGATGATATTTATAATGTGAAAAGGGCAAAGGTAACTGGAGTAAAATCTTCCATGGGGCAAGACATAGTCCAAAACCTGACTAAATGGTAAATGGCATCAATGGGGTGATTTCAGTACTGTCTCCCAGCGCGCTCTCAGCCATAACACAAACCCATACACAATGATACAGTCAGTAGCTTCTGCTTAGGAGTGGCCGGATGCTAAAACAGCAGGAGATGCTGTAGGCGAAAATCAAGGTGCGTTAGCAGAGCCTGCGTGCAGCAAAACAATTATTTATTATAAGTCCAGGATGGCTCTGGGGAATCACAGACTGGGAACAGCATTAGTCTCTGAAAATAAGCCATAACGACAGAACTCAGGCTTCTCATTGTCAGTACCCACCATTCAGAATCCAGCACACACTCTGCCACGAATGAGAGCCACTGAACATGACAAGTTGCAAAATCTACACTGGACTAATTTATTGTAACTCAATAGAAAAACGAGGGTAAGCTGCATTGCTTGCAAGGGCAGTCCAGATTTATTTTCTTTGGTCCATGCTTAGTATTATACTTCACCTACCTGTAAACTGATAGCAGCAGGTGCTTTGATAAACAAAACTAGAAGGCTACCTTGTTTTCTTGGGGCTTTTATAAGTTCTTCTGTTGCCTCCACCGAGCAGAGACTTAAAGCACAATGTATGTTTTACATATCCAAAGTGATGTGTAAATATTAATAAATGCAGTTCCAAGAGCAATATTCCTCTGTGTGTGTGTACGCATACACACACTCACACGTATTAGGCTAGGTGAATTATTTTAACAAGACCTACCTCCCTCCACAGTACAATTCTAACAGCAAAGCCCAGACTCTTACCATCTTCAGCAGCATGTCGATGCCCATCTTCGCTAATCTCTGCCTGAGCACTGTGGAAACTTCTGCATGCAGGTACTGAGATATGGGCTCACTCTCCTTAAAGACAGAATGGGAGTCAGACATTTCTTCTGGATCCTTATGTCTCACTTCTCCACCACATGCATTCCAGGGTCATTGTCTCTCTTGTCCTTGGCAGAGCAATGAAGATGCTACAGAGGGGGCCGGGTTAATGCAAGCTGAACTTACTGTGGCTGAAGAAGCCAGAGAGGCAAAGGTTTGGGAGTGGGAAGCAATTGGCTAAGTGGGTGTGAAACAATCCATGAGGAATCTGGGGGGCAAGAGATGCTAAAGAAAATATATAGCTTGAAATGACACAGACTGGAGGTGAAAGAACAGCTTTGGGAGCCGATTCAAATATGGTCCACAATAAAGATGGTTAAAAAAAACCAACTATATGCCTTTATATGGACCAGAGCAGGTTGGATTCCTGAACTATTCACCCAGCTCTAACACAGAAATGAGAACTGGATGGCTACGTCTAGACGGGCATGATTTTCCACAAATGCTTTTAACGGAAAAGTTTTCCATTAAAAGCATTTGTGGAAAAGAGCGTCTAGATTGGCACGGACGCTTTTCCGCAAAAGCACTTTTTGCGGAAAAGCATCCATGCCAATCTAGACGCACTTTTGCGCAAAAAAGATCTGAGCTGTCTACACTGGCCCTTTTGTGCAAAAGCTTTTGCATAAAAGGACTTTTGACCAAACAGAAGCAGCACAGTATTTCCGCAAGAAGCACTGATTTCTTACATGAGATCATCAGCGTTCTTGCGGAAATTCAAGCAGCCAGTGTAGACAGTTGTTAAGTTTTTCCGCAAAAGCAGCTGCTTTGCAGAAAAACTTGCCAGTCTAGACACAACCCATATGTTTTATGGGCAGAAACATGAGATTGCTAGAGAACAGTGCTGGTTTCCTTTTGGTACCCAGGGTCCTATGCCCTTTTCTACACTGAGTGAAGACAACATCTATCACCCTTATTCCAGGGACGTGATCGTGAAAAAAAGGAAAGAGCGAAGGAAGGTCTCAGAGATATTTAAGCCAATAGCGGAGAGATGCTTTCTCCTACCATTCATCTTTCCCTTCTAATGCCACCTCTAGGAAAGAGCTTTTTGTTGAGATTGCGATCAGACACCAAGAGGCAACCTCCAACACCATCACCCTGCTCATGACTCCTGCAGCTCTTACCTCGAAAGTTTCCACCAAGATGTTTCTTGTTACAAAGGGGTGAAGTGGAGTTGGGAACTTCACAAAATCCACATCCAGGAAATTTTTCTGGAAGCGCTCCAGGTTTCTGGCTTCATAGCGTAGGTCAAGCTAAAAGAGAGATGAAGAGAAGATGGAGGCTGTGGGCGGCGGGGGGGGGGGGGGGGGGAGAATGCAGAACTAGGAAAATAGGAAGCTTGGAAGGTCCTGCATGAGCTATCATCTCATTGCCTGACACTCAATCCCAATTAAGCTCAGCCAACTCCATCAGAAAACTAGTTAAAAAGCAAGAAACTCAATGGGAAAAAAAAGTGGTTTTTAGCTAAGTTTTCCTAGTGGAAACATCACAGGATGAAGCACTCCAGGAGTAAGACATATTAGAACTACTTCAATTAGATAGAAAAGTGACAAATGTGACTATTTATTACCTGTATTACAGTAGTGCCCCAAGGACACCACCGAGATGGGGACGAATTGCGCTAAGTGCTGTACATAACGTAAGAGATTTCTTGCCCTAAAGACTTTACAATCCAACTACACATGGCAATTGATGACAGAAGGGAAGTGTTATCCTCATGTTATAGACCTGCGGTGGGAAACCTAAGGATCCGGCCCCCAAGGCTCAGGGCTCCCCCTAAGCATCAGGGACCCCATGCTGGCACTCCAGCTCCCTGCAGTGCCCCATGGAGCTAGAGCACACAAAATCTACTACCCTTGGCCCACCTAGGTTCTGGTGTGCAAAGGGAAAGTGGGGAGTGTCTTTCTCCTAAATTGGGCACCACAGCAGGGAGGGGCTTCTATTTTTATTTTTTGGCTTCTCACTTGTGTGCAACCCTCGACTCATATTTCTATGGATCAGCGGCCCCCAACCCAAAAAAGCTTCCTCACCTGTTATAGACAGAGAACGGAGGCAGGAAGAAATTAGAAGTGTCTTGTCCTAGGTCACCAAAGCAATCTGCAGCAGAGTCAGGAACTGAATCAGGATTCCTGAGTTCCAATCCAGTGCTTTAAGCACAAGACCATGCTTCCTCTCTAAGGCCAGATCTACACTAAAAGGGATCATCAAATCAAAATATGCAACTCCAGCTACATTAATTATGCAGATGGAGTTGACTGTATCTTGTTTTGATTTTCCCTGCTGTCCCCACAGCAGGAAACCGACGGGAGCAAATACTCCCATCAGCTTCCCTCACTCCTTGCAGAAACAGAAATACCAGCTGTCGGCGGTGGTACCCTCGGAGTTCAATTTAGTGGGTCTTAACTAGACTTGCTAAATTGAACTCTGGAAGATCAATTGCAGCAGTGTTAATATTCCATTTAGTGAAGACATGACCAAGTCACACTCCTTTATATCCCCCAAATGTATTTCTTAGGCAGTTTGATGATGGAAGTGGGCCCCTCCATAATTTGGGAATGACAACCATCCTGTGCATATTATCATTTCTCTAAAGAGAAATGAAAGGAAATCAGACCAGGTCTATCAGATACGGATCTTGTCCTGACTCTTGTACACTCAACCGAAGGCCCAGCTGCCTGACCAAGGAGGCACTAAAAACGCCAAGCTGGAGACATCCCTGGTGTCACTATTGTACACTAGAATGCAGTGATGCTGCCCAAGATACCAGATTCTCATTGTAATTTCTGGTAAAAATTGGTAGATGGATGGATGACAAAGGAAGGAAGCAACCATGCTTCAGGATATGAGGACCATGGAATTATGCCCACCTGTTGAGTCATGAGCTTCTCAAACTCCTCCACTATTTCAGTCATGCTGAGCCACTTGAACCCTGGGAAAAGCCCAATGATCTTGCTGCCCATCTTCATCAGAAGCAGATCTATCTGGACCTGGTGGACTAGTCCAGGATGCAGGACCTAAGAGAAAAACACCTGTAGGCAGATCATCTCCCATGGACATAACACCAATACTGATCAGCCTGTCTATTCAGTTTAGAAAGCAACAATGATAGCTCCTGAATATTCACACTCCAGACTACACTGGAAATACCCTTTAAGCCAGCATTTCTCAAACTGGGGTCTGCAGATCTCTGGGGGTCCGTGAGTCATGTCTGGGACTGCCAGCCCCATTGATCAATTCCTCCCCCTCCCTTTCAGTGCCTCCTACATGTCCTGGAACAGTTGTTCAGCAGTGTGCAGGATGCGCTAGCAGGGAGGGGGAGGAGTGGGAATGGGGAGAGAGTGCTCTGAGAAAGAAGTAGGAAAGAGGAGGGGCAGGGACGGAGCTGGGGGAAGAAAGAGGTGGGCCAGAAGTGGAGCTTTCTAGCTGCTCAGATTTAATGGAAATAGAAATAAAAAATAATTCTGTACCGAGACATATTTATGTATCTCTTTCTAATAAATATTGTACCACTAACACTATTTATTTCATTATAATGAAATAAATAGATAGTGTTAGTGTACAATAGTTTATAAATAAAAAAAAATAATAATATTGAGCTTTTCATTAACATGTATTTCTTTTTCAAATGTAAACAAACAGTATGCTTGGGGGTCTACAAAAAATGTAATTCAAAATGGGGGTTCTCAGGTTGCTAATGTTTAGCATTGCTTTAGACTAAAAAGGGGCTATTAGTAGCTCTGACAACAATGCACGTTTTTCATGGACCTAGGCTTCAAACTGTGATTAAAAGAAGTCTTTATAATACTCTTTAAACTGCTCTGATTTATGCAGTTTAGAGCCTACCCTGTCTCCAAAACTAATGTACAGCTGCTTTCCCCATCCTCCTTTCATGTGCAACATACTATCTATTGGTGTGTGTGTGTGTGTGTGCATGTGTGTGTGGCGGGGGGCTGAATAGAGTATTTATTTCAGGGTGAACAAGAAGCAGAGAAGGGCTGGACACTGTATGAAGACCAAAAGCGAAGTCTAGCATAATGTACAATTTTAAAATCAAATGAGCCTTAGTGGTCATGTCTAGTGCGCATATGGCTTTCCACATGGCTTTACTGGAGTGTCTGTATTTTGGAGAAACCCTCCCAGTCATGCAACAGTAAGGGCTGTTGAGGATCAGGTTTCAGGCACTTTAGTAGTGTTTTGTGGCAAGCAGTACCACAGGTTGGAACTGAAGACTACTGGAAAAACTGCACAGGCAGAAAGATTAAGCAGCACCTATCATGCACTACAATTAGCCCTAGCCACATCTATTAATTTTTCATGAGAACTAAACTCTCCATCAGATTAATTCAGCAATCTCTAATTCCAGTCATCATCCAACAATATATATTACTTACTTTAATGGCGACCGGAATAAGATGGTCCATCTCATCTAAATTGTCAACAGATGAGGTCTTTGTAGTTAGCTGAGATCCAGACATTTGCTCCTCAGAGAGAGCATTTCTATGAATACCTTCATCCATACCTTCATCTGCACTGCTTTCTTCCAATGTCTCTCCAGCCTTCCTTTTCCAGGGCCACCTGAAGAGGCCCCTAAGACCAGACACCTCCCAGGCTGCAAAAGCAGATTCTGTTTCAGAGTTCTTCACTAGTTCCTCAAACCGGGGGTCATCAATAGTAGTGGCATCGGCATAAGCTTTATAGACCTGGGCAACACAGCCCGAGCCAATGGGTTCCTTGCTTTTAAACTTGAGGACTCTCTTCCAGTCTTCCCCAAATGTTTTCTTCAGGAAATATTTGGTGTAACCCCAGGGATGAGGGGTCACCTTGACATGAAGCTTGGAAAACTTGATGCAGAACTCTTCAGAGAAGAGATCTCTCCTGGTACATGCCCACTGGCCCAGTTTGATATAAGTGGGGCCTGAGGACTCTGTGGCTTTGAGCAGAAGATGGAGCCAGAGGGCTGAAAAAGTTGAAGACAGATAGGTCACAGGATAAAGCAGAAGCAAGGGGCCAAACTTCAACCAGAGAACACAAGCCCGGAGTCCTAGGCGAAGGGCAAAGCCAAGACGCCAGAAAAATCCAGCTAAAGGTTGTTTGTCTTTGGCAGGTTCCGGGAATGAAGATACACTTCGATTTGATACTTCCTGGCATCTCACAACAGAAACCTCTGTGATCCCCCAACACACTAAGATGGTCTTAGCCAACGCTTGAGTTTTGATCAAGCTATGTTTATTGCTAGATGGGGAAATGACAGATTTATTACCCCATCTTATCCAAACCAGGTTTTTCTTTATATTGAAGGACCTTAAATTGAAAAGGTAAATCCTAGAAGTGCAGCCCCATGCAATCATAGTCCTGGAAGTTAAAAAAAAAAAAAGCAGATAAAGTTGTATATCTCTCTATTGGTGAGTAGGGCAGCCCAGACAGATAACAACAGCAACCAAATCAAACATTTGTCATTTGTTGTTTTGGTTCAATGTTGGCAAAAATCTGGAGAACAAAGAAAAATGAGATGACGCTCAAAAGCTGGATTTACAAGATTCGGTTTTGTTCTAGTGTGTAAAGAAAAAAAAAGAAAAAAAATCCCCACATTATCTATGCCCTTCAGCACCAGAATCTGCTGTTATGGAATGAGAGGCTTGGGTTGGGGCTGACTTGCTCCCCTCCACCGGTGAGTGACTAGGGACTCGCGGGAGCCCGAGGGGAGACAACAATCTCCGTTCTTACATTCGTGCGCAACCTCCTCCCAGGCAAGAGCTGGCAGCAGAGGGCCACAGCCTGGCTCTCCTAGAGGCGAGGCTCTGCATTCCCTTCACAGCCAAACCCCTGCCCGCTTCACCTCCATGCATCTCGCTCCTTGCCCCGGCGCCGCTGCCTCCTAGGAGCCAGTTTCATTCACGCGCAGCCTCCCTGCCGCGAGCAGCAAGCTCAGCTGCGGATCCGAGCCCCCGCTGCGGGCCGACCTGTCACGTTCCCGCTCCGCAGAACGCGGGGGGAGCGAAAATGATACACAACGTTCCAACGAGCCCACGGACTTCCGTGGCTCGAGATGGCCCCGCCCCTTAAAGGGACAGCGATTGCGGGCGGTGCTGTGTTACGCGCAGGGGAAGGACCGTCCCTGCTGTACGTGATGGGGCTGGCGGAGATCGCTCTTACAGCTGCCGGCGTGCACAACTGGTGTTTCGCTTCCAGCTGGCCCCGTGGTCCTTTCGCCAGCCTGTGGGATCCCTCGTTTTGTCGCGGGCAGTACAGCCTGTGTATTCAGCACAGTTATTCATTTAGGACATAGGCTGTTTAGACAAACGTTGGGCCGTGCCTGTGTGTCTATGGCACTCTTACTAATGCTATTGTTGTTTATTATTGGGCTGATTTTTTTTCAAGTTATAATGATTACAGGTGTTTAAGCTCCTATATCTTGGTACTAACTTTCCTGGCCAAATCTCTTAAACCTATGGGCTTAAACCCGGAAGGGGCATGTAAATTTCACCAGTCGTCGTAGGGAAATGCGTGGGGGATTTAACTATCCCCCGCGGCATTTAAATAAAAATGTCCGCCGCTTTTTTCCGGCTTTTAAAAAAGCCGGAAAAGAGCGTCTACACTGGCCCCGATCCTCCGGAAAAAGTGCCCTTTGAAGTAGGAATAAGACCCTCCGGAAAAGGGCAATTTTTCCGGAGGC